AGCTATTAATATTTTACTGAAAAATACACTATTAGTTGCCTCGTAGCAGCAAACCTACGTACTCGTTAAACCTGTTATTTAAATAGATTTAGGCTAATTTAAAATCAATTCAAACAAATAGAAATTCGCTACATCGGCAGGGTTATTTATAAATAAAACATACAAGCTCACACTAAAACACTAACACACACACTAAACACACTAACTATAGTTAGTGTTTAGTCTAATAAATTAATGTTAATCAATAGTTAACTAATTTGTTTAGTGATCATAAATGCTTTAGTTCTTATTTGACTATGGCATCATCACTTTACTATAACTTTATGAAAATATTATAGTTGTTTAGTTTTAAGTTTCAGTTTGAAGGTTGTGGATCAGAAGAATCATCACTATTCCATGTCTTTGTCTTAAAAAGAATAACTTGTACAATAGCAACAAAGGTTTACAGGCCAAAGAAGCTAGGTAAAAAAATCTTACATTTCTACAGGTAAATGTAAAATTGTAATAATTTTATTGTAAATACAAGTCTACACACCTGTAAAATTGTTAAAAAATGCCTGTAAATTTGGGTTTTTGAGTAGTTGTTACAAGTCTGTAACTTGTAGTTCATGCAACACCTGTAATTACAATTTCTGAAGAATTCTTCAGAAATTTGCCTGTAAACTTGTAAAATTGTAAAATTGTAGTTTTATGCAATAGGCCCCAGGCTGTAAAACCCTGGTTGGCCCCCAAATTACGATGACAGCTGGCATGGCCAGCAAAACGTAACTTTCAGCCACCAATTAACGTATGTAATAAAGCTAAAAACATCATAATGTGGTGAAAAATTATAAACAGTCCAAATATCGGAACATTCTTAAAGTTTTGTAGTCGCTGCTTCAACCTAATCCCCTAAAATATTTATCTAAAATGCATTTTTATGCTTTTTATTTGTTTGTGTATTTTATGTTTTGTGTGTTATTTTTGTAACTATTTCTGTTGAATATTAAAAAAAAGAGCTAACTCCGTATTATCTTAGTGATTCTTAAAAAATGTCATAGCAGTATAAAAAGTTGAATGAAACCGTAAAACCCTAGGCTAAATTATTACATTTAATGAAAGTTTATTTGTAGCAAAGTAACAAACACGAACGCGCTACTAACACCAGACGAATGACACTACTTGAAGACCGGACCAAGCGTAGTGCGAGTGAGGGGAGTAGAAGGAGTGATTTATAAGCTGTTGACTGTTCGGTGACTCGAGTGCGTTTGGCGCGCAAATAGCTTACGGGTACCGGTTATTGGCAGTGCTGGGGATATATGTGAGTGAGGGTTAGGAGCAATACACAAATGGTTTCACAAAAGATCTCTGGTCAACCCCTTCACCTATAACCCAACCAGATTTAGTCGCGCATAGGAACTTTGGCTACTGCCACTGGTATAGCATTTTTTGTGGTACCAGTTATCGATAAACAAAATAGTATACTTACAATAAACAAGCTTAATTATAATATAAGTAAAAAAAGATAAAATACTTTCTTTCAAAACATAATGGTGGTGGTACAGTATATAAGCCGGGTGGTTTGTACTGTACCGGCTCACTCCTTGCTTTGCTGTATACGATCCACGAACGGTTGTTAGTCTATGTGTGGAAATGCAAGGTTACAAGAGGCCGTCAACACTTAAAAAATAATAAAAAAGTAACATACTTTTAAAACAAATTGCAGGAAGGATTTTTCACCTCCTATATGTTCAAGATGGTGTTGTACCTACGCCACTGTGGTAAAGTATGAAATTTATTTAAGAATTTTGTTTGTACAATTTTGCTAAACAACAATTTATACGTGTATTATCGGTATTATACAACATACGAAAGGTGACAGTGGATTGGGCCGTTCAGTATTTTTATTACAATAGGGGTAACCGTCATGAAGTGAAATGTTAATGTAGTACAGAGTTTAGTAAAAAATCTATGCGTGTTAACAGTAACAGTTTTGGTGAAAACGACTCTTTGACATATAAAAAACTAACAGTAAACCGTATATCGATCCTTATTTACTCCACGCAAAAACTACGCGGATTAAGGATCACCCTACTAAAACAAAGGTTCTACTTACAATTTTATCATTTGTAATCGTTAGTAATTATTGAAGAATATATTTACCTCAGAAAACATAATATGTTACACCGAGTAGTAACTATAATACATATACTTTTTGTACATCGAGTTAAAAGTCGTCCAAAAACCGAAAGTTAAATCACAGAATAAATATATATTCAAAGTAGGCCTATAAATAACTTGACGTTAATGTTTAGTGTTACGTAACCAGTCGAAATGTTAGCAGATCATCCACTAGTACATGTATACATATTGTCACTTCTTGTGTAATTTAAAACAGATTCTAAGCAATGCGTTCACCTACGATGAAACGGGTAAAAATTGAGTTTTCTCACTTTTGACCCTCAAAACACAAAATTTCCCAATTTTTCTCTAAACCTTCCTTAAGAGCTTAAAAAACAAACAATTCAGTATATCAAAGTGTTTTTGTACGGTTATTGGTTACGGAGAAAACTAAAAAAAAAATTAAATTTAAAATCCCTATGTTATTCTTATGGAGAATATTGTAAAATGTTGTAGTTTGCTTGTTTATGGATATCTTTTGATCAAGCTTGGCAAATATATTCATTTTATACTAAGCAATAATTATTTTACTTAAAACACACACTTTATTAGTTTCCTTGTAGCAGCAAACCTAGGTACTCGTTAAACCTAATTTTATTTAAATAGATCAATTGAAAAGCAATTCAGCCAAATGGAAATTCGCTTAGACAGCAGGTTAGCTGCGGCGGGGGTATTTACTTATCCTACATTCATTTGAAATTAATCACTAAACGGAGTTAATAACGGCAATGTAAAACTAAGATTAGTTTTATTTGGTAAATTACGTGGCTTTTATCATTTGCACTTTGGAATTTTATATTTCATCCAGTTGCATTATGAGAATTTTAAATTATAACAATTGAAACGATTGGTTAATAATAATAAGTTTTGGGAAATCGTATGTTATATCATTCACTATGGGATACAGAAGAACTATTGTATTAATAGTCAAAGGTCATATGCGAGATATAATAACGAGACAAAGTCCGTACATAATGGAAATTGTATAAATGGACATAAAACTTCACAAAACGTAAGTCTATAATTTAGGTAATACGAAAATTTAAAGAATTAAATAACAGTAAATAAAGAAGATGTGAGATGACAGTGGGGTTTAATTCAACAGTTGGCAGCACGTATTTTAGGTAGTATTATCCTGTATTCCGTATCAACTGGAGTAGAATCGACGTAAGGCTCGAGTAAATACGGAGTGAGGGATACTGCTACCCGGCCTCGAACGCCGGAAGTGGCGCGGAGGGGGGACGGCCGGTAGTGATATCACTGAATCTAAATATCAAGTAGCATTATCCCTCCGTACATCGTTATATATATATATATATATATATGAATTTGAACAGAAGGTGTTTTTGGCCTCTGGGGACATCAAAACAGAAAAGTAAATCAGTTCCGGGTTTAGGTCTTACCATGAGACCTACCTGTAGCTTATTCGCTATAAATGAATTGTGCCAATGTAGTGGATGATCACTTAATTACTTGAGTTTTAGCGAATTTCCCTATAGGGAAGTAGCTATTGAGTGAAAATTTAAAAACGTACGTTTTCATGTCCCTGGCCTTTTACTTTGTAGATACTGGATTTGTTGTTTATTATTATGTGTTTTAATATTTTTTGGGACGGGGGCAACATGTTACACACATTTATTTGGTTCTAGGTATTTTTTTTTGTATTTTGAAAGTCTCGAAATTCACGACCATGACGTGTCCCTAGGGTACATTTTCTGTTTTTAGACTAATTATTCATGCAGAAATATATAAAGCCATATTTTTATGTCATCAATAGTTATTAACTTACAAAAAATGAGAATATTATCATTTTATTGTCACTGCAAACTGACTAACATGACAAAATAAGTTTGTCCCTCGATTTGGCGTCACAACCATTTGGGACAAATTTTCAACTTTGGACCACGACAGTGGCAAGCCTGGTGTTGATTGCGTCAGTTGGTTTTAGAGACTAGTTCGGGGTGTACGTCAAGTTTGTAGTGCCAATCGTTTCGAGTTGAATGGAGGAATTACAAGACCAATAAAGGCAAGTTTGTGTTTTTTGTAATTTTGGTGTGTCCATGACCGTACCCAGTCATTCGATGAAGTAGACACGGTGTTAATTTTTTTTTATAAGATATTTCAATTGCTAGATTAACCTAGAAGTCCACTTTGGATCCTCGAACATGAGATGCAGGGCTACCACTACCTACCAAAATAACCAAAACCAAACCAACCAAACGTGCTGATAATGAAAAAAATCAAATGAAGGTTTATTAATTGAAAAAATAGTTCTGTTCATAAAATAAATTTATAAATGCCTCAAATCCAATTTTATAATTTTTTATTATGAAATTAAACTGTCATAACCTAACCAAACTAACCATAGACTTGCTGATAATGAAACATCGAATGAAAGGTGTAATCATACAAATAGTTCTGTTCATAAAATAAAACTATAAATGGCTCAAATTTAATTTTATAATGTTTTAATTATAAAATTGTCATAACCTAACTAAACCAACCAAACTAGCTGATAATGAAAAAATCCAAGACAAAAAAAATAGTGCCCCGAGTGAGATTCGAACCCGGCTCCTTTAGTTTATCAGCCCGGCACTCTATCCACTATACCACCGAGGCCGATGGTGTGAAACCGTATCGTTGCGGTAATGGTGTTCCCTCAGCCAATCAGAAGCCTCCAACTAACACTGTTGGCAAAACTAATCCTGGAATAAAAATTCAGCGACCCAACCACTCACTCTTTGTATACGTTTAATCAATTAAATTACCTAGATAAACAAAACCATTCATTGAAACTTGTTGATATTAAATCAGTTGTGATGAACTGCATAAATACTAACCTTAAATTCTTTCCTCTTTTCAATGTTGTTATAAAACTTGGCGTTGTTAACTACAACTACCAATCCAGGGTTATTGGGGTCTTTGATTTTGTAACAGTCTTCTTCCTCTTCATTGGCCATTATATGTTTGAATGTTTTTGCACACTCATTATCTGTAAAGTTCTTTATTTCTTCATTTATATTGTAGTAAACGTCCAACAAATTTGCTGACTTAATTTGTTTCATCAGGTTATCTAGATATGGCTCCTTTTTGATGCTGATGTATTCTTGAGAAATCCAAAATAAAATGTGAAACTCCATGTACATTGGGTCACAGTCCAATGTTATGTCTTCTTTGAATTTACCATCACGTCTAACCCGATCAATAAGGTCTTGAGCTGGTTCTCTTTTTAAAAAATCGCACACAGAAGAATAAAGTATTTTTTTAAACCTGTTTGTATAAACGGGTGCATCCCTCTTTATGTTAATGTCTTGAATACAACACCCTAGTCTCATCAAACTATTGTTGTTTTGAATTATTGCAAGAGTTTCAAACAGTTTGAATTTCCAATTTGTAGGCGATGTGCAAGCCCATTCATACAATTTACCTCTTGAAAAATTCTCCGGACCAGCAGCAATCAAAGAGCGGATTAACTGTAGGGCGTACCTTGTATCATCAATCAAAAGAAAAATAACAGATATGTACTCGTACAGATCTAAATTCATTTCTATATTACTGACATCTTCAAGGGTGACTTTATAAATTAAATGATACTTTTTCTCAGGCACACTGATGGCAGAATCAAAGGTAGCATTGCCACTGTCAGTGGATGTATCATTGGAGTTATCACTGCTCGTGGACAATCTATCGCTATCAGAATCCTCTGAGCAGTGAAAAGATGTTTCTGAGTCTGATTCTTCGGAGTAGTCTTCATTGTGGTTTGGTAAATCAAATTTAGGAAACCCATAGTTCCCCATGTCCATTTCCTGCAACAAATAACTTAAGTTGGATTTTAAATACGAAATCCTTAATTCTTGTTTATTAAAAAAGCTAAGTTAGGCAGAGGATATCTCACTGAAAGTAGGCACAGGATACTATTTTACTGTCAAAACCTTTGAACATTTTCCTTTTTAGGAAGTAATAACGTTTAAGGTTTGAGACCTATTACTTTTTTGTTTCAGGGTAAGCATTCTAAAGTCTAAAATATTGTTAGTTGAGAATGGGAGAAATATATACACAAAGATAATTACTGTACATGTATATCTTCTTAAATTGTATTGAACAAGTAATAACATTGATGTTATTAATAATAATATGTTATCAGTTATCGTTTAATTTCGTTAGGCCTCTTCAGTGATAACGAACTAGGGTAATAAATTTAACGTATTATAAAACGTGGGTCTTTGATTATTATGCAATCTTACTTTCGTCACCGAGAAATATTTTACTTCTCGGTTATTTCGTACACTGCTTATGTTGTCTGCAAACATTTTGTTACTTTGGAGCCTGGAGTCATGAACGTTTGGCTGGGGCTTTTAATATTGTGTTACTGTATTTTACATTTTAGTTTTGTCCTAATATTGATTGTATTTTGTTGAATACAAAATACTGCTACTCTACTGACCGTGTTCGTTAGCCCATATCTTATTTTACCTCACAATTAACCAATACCAAAGACATTTGTTGTAAGATAAACGCTTACAACATAATAAGACACTTGAAATCCATACAAAGATAAAATAAAAAATGCAATAGGCTATTTTAGCCTGTGATAAAAGTAGCCTACGTCAATCTATTAAATTAACCAGCCTTTAGTAGGCCTATATGAGTTAATTTTAACCAAAGATTAAACTAACCTAATAAATTAATACTTTCTCATCCTTCAGTCATATTTGGGTTAAAATTCGCACATAGTGGCGTCCCTATCTTAAATAACTGATTGATTGACTTTAATACTTTACTTTGAAATGGCGACCATACCAATGTAGGTATTTTAAGCAAAGAATTAATGGAGATGAGTGTAGGATGAGTGGCACAACCTTTTAGTTTTGAAAGGGACTAAGGCCGACATATTCCTTAGACACAGATGTTAATTAATAGCCAATACAGCAAAAGGCAACTAACCTAAGGGGGTTAATAGGGGAATTTGAGCCACAATTTTGCCTTGTAATTAACGAATTAGTCTAATTATCAGGGTAATAAAAATTAATAATGTGTGATAGGCCTAAATTAAATGTACAATTTTTAACCTCCTTGATATAAACAGTCTGATAGACGGATGGAAAATAAGTTTTTTTATTTGATTTCAAAACTATTTACAAACACTAATATTGATATAATGACGTAGTGATGTAACACTTTCATCAAACCACGACTGAAATACTTAACACACCCATTTATGGAACATTTAATCCATAATTTCATATTTTTTTTCATAATTTATTTACCACTCTTTTTATGATTAATCTGTTTCATCATTGTATCGGTGGTCCAAAAATAGCTCTGGGGGGAGGAGGAGGGCGTTTGATTATGTTGTATCGGTGGACTAAAAATAGCTCATGAGAGGGGGGCCAAAAAAATAAGTTTGCAGGGGGGCCCGTAAAAATTTGTTACGCCACTGAATTAAAAGTTAATCAGATGTCAAAAGTTTTGCCACTTAGTCTAATTGAGCTCATTTTTACAGCAAAGTTTGTTTGACTTCTATGTGATTATTGTGACTATAGGTTGGCCGCTTGGAAAGCAACCTGCGCGAAATTTTTAGCGCATGTAGGGGAGGTAACGGCGAGGGAGGGTATGTTCCCCTCTCCGCCAATGGCCGTTTTCACACTGCACGACACGACACCGGCACGGCACCGTCACGGCGTGTGTATTTACGGTGTCGTGGGAGTTGGAATCCCGTGTTACCAAATAGACCTGCTTACACACACACCGTCACGGCAGTGCCATCGTTGACCATCGTTTTCAATATCCGTTTTCAACCCCTGCTGAGGTGGAGCGGCAGCGGAGTGGGGGAAAGAGCCATAGTCTGTCTCACTCCCACAGCTCGGTATCTCTCACTCGCACCAATGCTAATAGGAGGTCGCTTTCTAAGCGGCCGACCTATAGTCCTAGTTAGTTATATTTAGGGGTAGACTTCTGTATCTGATGTCAAAAACAAACGAATGAAAATATTGATAGTTTCAATCGATATATTGTTTGGTTGGTTAGGTTATGTTAACCCAACTAATTAAACGATATATCGAATGAAAGAATCTATATATAGGCCTAGATCAATATTTTCATTCGGTTGTTTTTGACAACAGATACGGAAGTCTACCTATATTTAGTTTAGCTACGGTACAGTGTTTGTGACTGTAGCAATGAAACGATGAAAATAAGCCTACAATCTTTAATTCTAATATTTTAACCTAAAGTGAAGGCTTATAAGTTTACTCTAAATGGATAGAAGGCCTAACTGTAGTTATTCATTAACAAGACTAGACAACCTCTAGTTATTATTATTATTATTATATAGTCTAAAACTAGCCTAATTAGATTATTAATTTGTCTTACAAGGTATTTAATAAACAATACAATAAATGCAACTTAACCTCAAAAATTAAGTGATGAGCATTGACTATTGACGTCTGCTGTGACTGCTGTGAGGCAGAACGGCAGAAGGCAGAAACAGAAACTGACAGTTAGTAGTTGACAGTTGTCAATGACAAGTGACACAGCTGACGAGCCACCTTTTTATTATTGCCATAGAGAAGTAAGATAATCTTACTTCTCTTTGTTATTGCCACGGCCACCTCATCGAGATCGATCTCTATTATTACTGCCTTCAAAGTGGCAACGTCGCAAGTAAGGTTGTAGTAACAGCTGCTTTGTTTTGAAGCAGCTAATGATATATATAATATAATATATAAATATTATTGTGTATTTACGATGGTTACTGGACTATGAAAATATTGACTCGGCTTTAACTCATAACTCATATTTATTGAACCAAAATAACAAATACAAAATTTCCATTGGTCATGCCAATTATAGCGTAGAACTAAAATTAAAATAAACAATAGACAATGTTGCTTCACTAAAACTATACCAACTACTTCTTTCAACAAAAAAAAAACCCATCAGTGACACAATCTCGAACACTAGTAACCCTTCGGTGGGGCACACGGGAGGGACTAAGGCTAACATATCTTGTAGTGTCAGCGTTCGCCGCTAGGACTGCTAAGTTGAAAAAATTTAAATTAATTTTTAATTTTTTATTTTTTGTTATAAAATTAACTTTTTAATTATAAAATATTGTTTTAAAGTTATAAAATAAATTTTTAATTTTTAAAATTAAACTGTCATAACATAACCTAACCAACCAGACTTGCTGATAATATAAAAACTATATAAGATAAAAATCTAATTAATGATTACTTATAATTTTTAATTAATTATAAAATTAATTTTAAAATTTAGTATTATAAAATTAAACTGTCATAACCTAACCTAACCAACCAAACTTGCTGATATGAAAAATTTGTTGACAAAAATTTAATGCTGCCAGCGGGTTTCGAACCCCGGACCTCCTGAACAGCAATCCGAAACGCTACCAACTATGCCACGAACGCCGCTGAAATCACATCGTTTCGTTACGGTAATCGTGTCGCCTCAAGAGAAGACAATAACCACTAGAGATATGACGTCATTACACATTTAGCCTTAGTCCCTTCCGTGTGCCCATTCCAGTAACCCTTGGCCAAAAGTATTTTTTTTTTCTTTTTAAAGCTGTTCAAGTCGTCTCCAGCTGAAGGGAGGGAGGGAGGAGATCAAAAAGGTTAATGCCATTGTAATGAAAGTGTCTCTTGAAAAATGTAGTTGAATGAGATGGCAATTTAAGATGAGAATTGTTACGTAGTGAATAGGAATGTGTAAGTGAAGATTGGTATTGGTGTAAGTTTTTTTTAATGAGAATCAACGTTTCCAAAATTTATATTGAGGGAAATGTTAAAATTTGTGATGAAATAAAGTATTGCCTGCAAGATGTTCTTCTTTTCAAACCAAAGACTGCCCTAACTGCCCTCTTCTGGAGTTGGAAAAGGAAAGACATTTTCCCACACTCACACCCCCACACCGGCACTGCGTGTATATCAGGTGCGGGAAAATCACTCCATAATATGCTGTAATTAGAACATCACATTTTGCAAACTTAGAAAGTTGGCTGAGAAGAAACCTAGACAGCACAAGGATATTTTATAAATATTTTTAAAATATATATCCATCTTTAAAATATTTTATATATTTTAATATTTTTTTAAAATATATTTTTTAATTTTTTAATAATATTTTAACATAATAAATTTAAAATATTTTAAAACGATTTTTTAATGGTCTTAAAAATATATTTTGTTAATATATTCTATTTTTTGGTTGAATATATTTACAAAATATTTGTAATATATTAAGACAAAATAATTTAGTTTTTTATGTAAAAGATATTTTTAAAATATTTTATTTACCGTAAAAAATAGCTTTTAAAAATATTTTTATAGAATTGTAACTGTAAAAATATTTGTAAAAACACTTTAACACCCTTTATAAAGAATATTATAGAAATATTTTATAAATAACCTGTTTTTAAGTTTTAAAAATATATTTTGGTAATTTGTTTCAACCGAGCTGGGTAAAATATATTTCCCACAGATTTAAAAAATATATTTTGACAACAAATTTCTTGTTCCTTAAAGAATTGTTTTAGGGCCATGACTAAAAGACTTTTTTAAATAATTCAAGTAGCCTATACTAAAAATGGCATGTATATTAAAGTTGTCTTAAAACCACTCCAAAAATAATTCCTTTTTTCCAAACAGTTAAATAAAATGTTTAGACTATCTTATAAAAGTGAACTTTTAACATACCGGATGTCCGCCCAAGTAGCACACATTGTTATTGTTGGCCCAAAGTTGGGAAATGGTCGGTACGGTTATGGGATCTATAGTAAATTGGATCTATAATAAATTGGATCAGGGGTGCCCATCCCCCCCAAAGTCAATAGCGCGAGTCCCCCCCAAAATTTAACCACCCCCCCCCAACGGCCATAGGATCAGTCTGGGGGGTATGGAATACCCCCCTGTAGGAGGGGGGTACGGGAAATTTTTGACATTTTAGACATAAAATAGATGGGTTTTTATAATTTGAGGCACCTTATTAGAACCAAGAAGTTGGTTTGGTTAAAAAATGGTATGTTATTTTCTTCATCTTATTATTGAAAACGTTGGTTTATCGCGAGTTTGTCGTAATTGAGTTTGTCTCTATTACTCTTCTTCCCAAACAATATACAATAAAAACAAAACAGACTCCCTTTGCTCACACTTGCCGTAAGCCAAGGTTTGTTCTCAAACCAAGAAGTGCAAAATTTTCTAATTTTCTTAGTACCATCTTCTTGAGAAAATGTAAAGCCTTTATATAGGTTGGTGAGTCCTAGCTTTTTAATTGCTAATTTTTCCTCAAGAGCGAGGTTAGAAAAGTTTAATGTTAAAAGATTATCCACTTCATTAATTTTCCAAAGCTAAAATTAAACTAAATTAAGTTAGGCCTACCGTGTGTCAATCATCACAACTGTGAGTTTAATGTATTAAAATATAACTAATATTTTGTTGAAAGTATAAATAATTCTATCAATTTAGTAGACTACTTCAAGTATTTTACTTATTAAGTCTAGTGTTTCTGTTATGTCTACTCTACTCGTCTACTAAACATGTTATTAAAATAGTAAACAATTCCAAACTAATAGGCATTGGCCTACTCAAAACTATCTATCTACAATTAGTCTGTAAATTTAAAATTTAAATCATGGCAAGAACTGCATTTTTAAATAATAACTCACAATTCTGAAAATTGCAGTACTGTTGAAGTAGGCCTAACCCCATTTGAACCACGAACACCCACTTCACAATAATTTCATCACCACACCATCAACACACCTTTAAATTTAAATGATTACTAAAACCAACAAAATCGTAGTATGGCTACATACTCTAATAAATCTGTAATAATATCACGAAACTTACTAAAAGTGTTAACTTATTAGTTGTTAAAATATTTCATACAACTACAACCCGTTTGCCGGTTGGTGTACAACATACACGTAACACGGGCGGCGGGAATCGGGATGTAAACAAAGCTACACTAGCGAGCTCACTCGCCACTCGGTTGCTACCAGTACAGCGCTAACGCATCTCACCGGCCATGCTAACCCTGACGAGTTGTGTTATGTTTTATATTTATGCTTGATTGTGAGCACAGGTTGTCTTTAATGTACATACATTATAAAAATATTTATTTGTTGACAAAAAGTTGTATTTTTTTAATCCCCCCCCCCAAATCTAAAAAAACATCATTAAATCTCAAATTCCCCCCCAAAATTGAATTGTATAGCGCAGTTCGCGCTATCAAATCATTCTGTGTGCACCCCTGAATTGGATCTATAATAAATGTAGTCAGATGTTATGATAGTTGTGATAATAGATACAGTGGGGAACACCTGCTTAATATAGAACGATTATAATAATGCAATTTTTAAAAATTAATATTCTTTAACTTATTTTTGTTAGTTTTTAATATTTGAACAATTTAAGGGAAAATATTAATTAATGTTATTATAATAACATTACTAATCTAATTGTAATTAAAAAATCTTTATTAAAATACCAGTATCCTCTCCAACTCCCAGAAAAACAATTCATCTACTTAATGCCTAAACAGAATCATATTATATATACTGTGGTATCAAAAATATTTCAAGTATTGCGACCATTGCAACTGTCGGCTACTCTTTGACCACTTGAAAATTCTCTCAAAACCAACAAACACAGATAGCTCAGAGGTAGGAGGCTCACAAGACAAAGGTACCAAGCAGGCCCGCCGAGAGGGGGGGGCCAGCGGGGGCATTGCCCAGGGGCCCGGGCCTACAAGGGGCCCGGGCCCGGGCCGGGCCTTGTCTAAAATGTAGTTGGGATGTAGGATGGGGGAGTGGAGTGGGCCCGCGGCAACGATTGCCCAGGGGCCCGAGATTTCTCTCTGCGGGCCTACCAGGTTCAAACCCCGTCCGGACAAAAAAAAAATTTGTTCTAGTTTTTTATTCAAAATGTGTTTTTATGAACTATTTAATCAATTTACTAAACGAATAATTATGCTTTTCATACTAAATCATTATTATTTAAAATATTTAAATATATTTTTTAATGATTTTTTAATAACATTTATAAAATATTACAACAAAATATTTTATTAAAATATTTTTAGGATACATTGGGGGTGGAATAGGATGCATTTTTAAAATATACTTTAAAGATTAAAATAAAATATTTTTAAAACATCCTGTGCTGTCTGGGAAAGATTCCCGAAGAAATCCTTCTACACACAGTGTCAATATGGGAATGAAAGCGCAGGTTTCTATCGAGTACCAATCCCAAGAACTTAACCTGATCAGTTGCCTCGAGCTCAACATCATTCAAAAGGAAATTGTTTTTGTTTTTCCCAGCTGAACTTATAGAAAAATTTACAAATTCAGTTTTTCAGAACAATTTTGCGAACCAGCATGATTGGACTATGGAAACAGGGGTTTATGGGGGTTTTTAGGAGTGAGAATGGGTCTTTGCAATTTTT